AATAATAATAATAATAAAAAAAAATAATAAAATTAATAACATTATTAAAATTATTGAGAAAATATAATGTATATGTTTGTAGTAATGAAAATTTTAATTTTTGTCGAGATTCGATATGGAAAAAGTAAAATGATACAATGTTTTCTTAATTTCTAAAGAAAATGTAATATTCTAATAAAATTTCAATTAAATCAGTTATTAATATAAAAATATATTAATCAGAATGAAAAAGAGGAATTGATATTAAAATTACATTACTATTTTAAAGTTATAACATATTAAACATTTAACTATAGCATATTAGATATTTTATATTTGGATAAAAAAATTAATAAAATTTTTCAACTTTCTTTTGATTTTAACAATTTAATATTTTTTTTTCAAAACAATTAGATAACATTAATTTAGATTTTTTTATTTCACAAATTATTTAAAAGATTAAATTTTAAAATACATTATATTTAAGATTTTAAGTATATATATTATATTATATTATATTATTATTTTTAATTAATTTAAATTTTTATCATAAAATTGAATCACATTATATTATACATAAAAACAAAATATTATATTATACATAAAAAAATTTATATAACAAAAAATAAAAAATTATTATTATTATCTTCATAGACTAATACAATTTAAATCTTTTTCAATTGTTCATTTTTAACGAAATATTTATTTAAAAAAATTCATATTATATTAAAATTCAAGAAATTTAAAAAAATTTATATTATACTAAAAAATTCAAGAAATATTATTTATATCTTTTTTTACAAAATAACATGTATCATTTCACTTTTACTCAAGAAATACAATAAACACATAAAGATATTTGTATTAAAAATTTGATCAAAAGTTTAATTCAAATAATATTTTTATAAGTTTAAAAATTGTCGTATAAGTTATAAAATTGTCGTAATTTATTAACTTAGATTATATTTTACTGTTCTACCAAATATGTATTTATTAAATAATTGAAAAATATAAATAAATATTTTTATATACATAATAATTTTAATCAATTTTTAACACAAATACTTTTGCAATGTCAAATCGTTTTAATTCGAATGTAATTTGTTAATGCGTGTACTATCATGAGAAGTTCAAATTCCGCCGCTAGAATTCGTTATTGTATAATTTAAATTATTTAATGATTTTTTAAAATAAAATATATTTAGTGATTTGTTTCGTTTAAATCATTTAATTTAATGACTTTATTTATCGGTGAATTTATTACACAATAAAATGAATTTGGCTATGATTCTTCCAGTTCATTATTTTATAATTAAAAAATCAATTGAAGACAGATTTTGATTAATGTTCATTCTCTTTCGTTTTATGAAAAATTAATAGTAGAATAGAAAATGATAAAAAGTATAGATAGTTTTGCATATGATATCATACCATACTTGTGAGTAATGTGTTTACAGAAAATTGTTTACTTTTGCAATTCACACGAAATTGATACAAGTTATAAATATTGTGTGAGTGGTCAGATATAACCTTATTTTATTGTGCTTTCTTGTTTTAGTTATAGAAATTTCTAATTTTTTTCATAATTAATTAAAATTTCTTTTGCAAAATTTTATATAATATAAGGAAGTATTACGAATTTTTATACATTATACTTTTCATAAAGTTTAAAATAACTGAAAATTCTAATAAAATTAAATTTAATAAATTTATTAATATTTATAGTACATTTTAAATATTTTTCCTCATAAAAATATATTAGAAAATATTTTTTTAAAAAGGAATTTATTTAAAAACAAATTTAATTGAAATTTTTTTCAAAAATTGAAAATTGAAAATTGAAATTAAAAAATTGAAATTAAAAATCTTGAAAAGATAATGTTTCTCAAAAAAATCAGACTTTCATTTCTTTTAAAAGAAGGTTAGAAAAAGATTTAGAAAACTGGAAAAATTCGTGCGATATTTAATCAAGTTTCTGTAATTAATTATATCATATTCACAGCCACTTAATCTTATTTTGAAAAATATTAAAAGAAACATTTATCGGAAAGAAATATTCGTTAAAAATTTTACATGTTGAATATTCATTTAATCAAGGAACATTATTCTTATCAGATTCATCCAAGATAATAATTTTCATGAAAGAGAAAAAATCTAATCTTAACCACGCCTTGAGAATAACTTTTTGAGCTAACATTCATTAATTTTTGTTTAATTGTTTTATAATATTGATTTGTTCGTATAGAAAAACATGAATGAATTCGTGTTAACCGGTCATTAAGGGGAGTAGAAACTTGTGCGTAGTCTGGTCGGGCAAATGGTAAAAAATAGTCGATAAGGAAGCATGAAGGGATTATACATGATTCTAAATTGAAAAATATGAAATTTGGTCGAAAGATACGACGAATTAATTATTTTTTCCTTCATCGAGCATGGTTTTCGATTATCGTAATTGTCGCATTTGCCATTAATTCACAGAGAGCTTTAACTCTCTGATTTTATCATATTGATCAAATATAAAAAAAAAAAAAGAAAAAAGGGGAAATATACATACGAATCGAAGTAAAATATACTTAATCATGGCTTTCATTGTACTTTCAAGAATTTTTTTTTCGTTTACAAGTTTGTTTATGATTATATATATTATGTATATTCAAGCCAGAAAATGTTTTAATTTAAATTAATATTTTCTTATCTCTTCTTAATCATCGCCGATGAAAAATGAAAGAGAATCATTTCGCCATAAATTTTGAGACTTTTTCTTCTTTCTTTTTTTTTGTTCAAGCGCTAGCGATATATTATACGCAGAGAAATGTATAAAAATCGTTTATCGGTTATATGAAGAATAATCAAATCGTTATATGCGTTTAATATATCATCATAAGAGACGCGTCCTTCTCTTTTCTCTCTTCTTTTTTTTTTTTTTACCAATAAGTTTTTTTCTTTTGAAAAAGTAGGTTTATACCTCGAGATAATTATCACGTTATTCCGATTAATATTATACTTATGAATATTTTCGAGTGATTATGAATATTATCGATTTTACATTATTGTGTACGAATCACTGTTTTCTCGTGGCATGCTCAACACATACGAGGATAGAAAACCATGCCTTCGAATTTATGAAATTCGAAAAAAAATCGTTAAGAATCAATAGGCATCATGATACTATTCTTATTACGTTTTTAAAAATTGTACGAAAAAATTATTGAGAGAAGGAAATAATGCTTTTGCCTACGTATATTCAATTCGATTTAATACTACATACATTAAAATAATACTTATTTATTCTTATTAATAAATAATAAATAAATTTTCAAGATCTTAAATTTGAGATAATCATTTTTTTAAAATAAAATTTTAAAAATTAAAAAATTTTTTATTCAAACAAAGATATAGATAATGATAATGATAATGATATGCAATTTGTAAAAAATTAAAAAATTTTTGATATGTATTATTAAAGAAATAATATAATACATATGATAATATGTAAAATAATTTTATATTTTGTAATAATATACACTTAAAGAGAAAGATTTATATATTTATATAATTCACTTTGCATCTATAATTTTTAATAATACTACTTAATGAATTAATGCTGATTCTAATTAAACTTTCATTTTTAAAATGAAAAATAATAAAAAATAATCTTTATACTCCTAAACTATTTCAATGCTTCATAAAATAAAATTTATTTCTCTCCAATAATAATAAATAATATATTTTTTCTTAAAAAAATAAATATTCCAAGATATAATAAAAATTCTTATATTAATAAAATAACTTAAATTACAATATTTTATCAAATAATCAATTCATTTAAAATTAAAAAAACTGAAATTTTTTTCAAATTTCCATTTATCACCAATATTTAAAAAAATCACAAAGATACGAAAGCAGAAAGCACATTTTCCTTCCACTGGCATGTTTCTATGATTCCCGTGAACCGATCGACGTAGCTGCGTCAACGAAACCTTAATCGACTTCCTTGTCGAGCATGCTACGTTAAAATGAATGAGATCACGAACGTGCGATACAATATTTAGAAGAAATGCGTTTCTTTTCTTTTTTTCTTCTTTTTTTTCTTACCTCGAATCACTTTCACATTTATTTTTTGCGACGATCTCCACATTGTGGCACATCACGTTCGCTATTGCTATTTTTATTTCTCGTGTGTACATACTCAATTATCATCGATTACACGCGATTAAGATACAGACGAATAGATTCATTCTCTCTCTCTCTTTTATTCCTCGTTCTCTCTCTCTCTCATTCCTTTTCACAATTTTTCCTCGTTTCTTACATTTACATACCCGTTATAATAAAATACACATTCACGAATGTCACAGTGTTGTTTCTTTTTCTTTTTTTCTTTGCTTTCTCTTTTTTTTCTTTTATCCTATCTGACTGTAATTAATCGCCCCTCCTGCATATTTTCTCGTTCATAATTTTCTCTTTTTCATTTCCAACTCCTTGCTTCTCTCCATCCGATCGCATCTATAATTATATACAAGGTGAAAATTGATTAAATGTTTTCTGATAATCGCTCCTTTCATCAATTTCTTCCTCTCTCGAACACCATTATAAAAAATTGATTCGTTTTTATTTTCCTCTTCATCGCGGGATTTACTCGTTACAACACTTTCTTCTCGATGTCGTCTTCTTCTTGATTCTTTTTTTCTTTTAATTGTTTATCTTCACCATTCAGGTCTTGCGGAGAGTTAAGCTCATCCGATTCATCAGCAATAAGATCCTTTCTTTCTGAATGATTTTTCTCTTTTTTATCTCTCTCTCTCTCTCTCTCTCTCTCTCTCTCTCTCCCTTTCTCTCTTTTTTTTCTTTTTTTTTTTTTCTTTCTCTCTCTCGCTCTCTCTCGCTCTCTCTCGCTCTCTCTCGCTCTCTCTCGCTCTCTCTCGCTCTCTCTCGCTCTCTCTCGCTCTCTCTCGCTCTCTCTCGCTCTCTCTCGCTCTCTCTCGCTCTCTCTCGCTCTCTCTCGCTCTCTCTCGCTCTCTCTCTCTCTCTCTCTCTCTCTCTCTCTCTCTCTCTCTCTCTTTCTCTCTCTCTCTCTTATGAAAAATATTCTCGAAGACAATCGTGTGTTCACCATCACAGATAGTTCCAGCTTGGGAGGTACGCTTTAGACACTTTCAACGTTCCTCTCTACCCCCTTTCTCTCCTTTTTAAAATTAAACTTAGTAAAGTCGTTCTTACGCTTGTATATGTATATATATAAGTAACAAGAGTCTTCGTTTTATATATACATGTGTATTCATTTTCTCTTTTCTAAACATTCGAAGAGGGTCAGAAGCTTTAAATATTCGACGATTCAATTTTTTTTCGTTTCGTATGCAACACTCTTCCATTTCGATCCATCAGGTTTTATCATTACTGTTCAATCAGACATCCATCCTCATACCACGATCTTTGATAACGATAATCGTGTTACATTAAAGGCGCGTTTTATTATTTTTTTTTTTTTCTAATATTTACATCCCACCGTAGAACACACCGAGGATCCCGGTGGAGTTTATTTTACTTTAAGGCAGTGTCGTTCGTCGTGGACGAGTTATCTCCAGATTCCTTGGCGTTAGGTTCTTTGTAACATTATTTTCATCGTTCAATCGTAATTTCCGCGTCGATTTGAAAATAGCAGAGCCAGCACGATCAAGCTTGTGTAGAGCCTCGTTTGACCCTCGATCACATGTAACAATGGTTCGAACTCGACTTCGAAACACGGCCCCGTGTGTCATACGGGTTCTTCCCGCTTGAAATTAATGTTTTGCGAAGCGCAAAAGTCACGTGTGAACGGGATGCAGTTGAACAGTTTGCACACCTCGCACTCATACACCGGTACGTTGTAGAAGAGAGCTAGAAGGAGGGTGAACAGAACGACGATGAGAATCATGCAAATCCATATCAGCCAGATCTTGCGACGACGATCATACTGGCCAAATGAGATAAATGGTAACAAAGCATAAGCAGCGAGGAAACCGAAGATGAAACCGAATAGGTGAGCGTAGTTATCCACCCATGGAAGAATGCCAAGGATTAGTAAGCCTATGAGGATGAAAATCAGCTTGGATAAGGCTCGTCGTGGATGCTTCAACATCGGCCAACAGTGCAATACCTCGACGATCAACGTTGCGAGGAGGGCAAAATGTGCTCCTGCTGGTCCGACCTGAAATTATATAATTTATTTCATTTTAGAAATGATATTCAAGTATTATAAGTTAACTAAGAATATTTATGTAAAAATATTTTTATAACAAAAATAAAGAAATAAGAGCCAAGAGGAATGTAACAAATAAATATTAATAATTAATAATAATTATAGTTTAGGTTTCACATAAATTTTTTACATGTTATATATATTTTCTATATTTATATACTTCTGAATTTTTCATATATAAAACAAAACCATTTATATATATATATAAAACATAGTCTAGTTATAAGATTTTGAATAAAGTAGCCTTTATATTGTAATATTTGAATTATTTGTAATATTGTAATATTGTATATTTATTCATTGCGGATTCGACTTTAATCCAACTGTTAAAATATTCTCTTATATTATGAAGTAATGTTTTCTGACATATTTGGTTGAATGTCTTGAATCTGTTTTAGATAATTTAAATTACGTAATGATATAAAAGTACTTTTAATTATAATTAATAAAAAATAGACAATAGACAAATACAATATTGATAAAATAATTATTAATATTAATATTATTAATATTAATATAATGTAATATAATAATTACAAATATTAACAAATAATTATAAATACAAAAGTAATAATAATAAATATTAACAATATTATAATATTAATAAAATTATTATAAATAATGATAATGATGTTTGAAATGATATATGTAATGAAATATCAAAAATAATGAAATTATTAGATAATATTTTGATTGTTTTTCCCTTATTTTTATAATATTTGTATAAAATTAATAATGATATAAATACTAATATATAAAATATAAAAAAATTGAAAATTAAGAACTTCTTTAATGGATTAAAATTGACACTTTTCAAGAATAATCCGAAAATTTAAATACTGTAAGAGTTAGAATGAAATAAATTATATTTGCAATTATCAAAAGAAATGTTTGATGGTTATTTAATATCCTTGCTAAATCTTTTTTATTCTATAATAAATCTTATACGTAACTATTAAATATATATACTAAATAATATTATATACTAATAAAATACTAAATAACTATTAATTGACAAATATTTTATTAATTTTTTCATTTTTACATTTTTTCAATTTATTTTAATTTTTAATAGAAAAAATAATGCTAATAAAATAAAAATGAGATCAAGGTTGTGGTCTATATGTAATATATAATCTAATATATATAATGAAATTAATAACAATTAAAATTTAAGTAAATTAGAGATTATAATGAATTTTTAATAATAATTAATAATTATTCTTATTTATTATGTTTTTTATTTAATGAATGTCTTGTTTTCATAATTATTATATAATAATCCATTCAAAATAAATATAATAAATATATTGGATTTTTGATTATTTTTTTATTTTTATTTAATGTTTTTTATTTAATGGATATCTTGTTTCCATAATTATTATATAATAATCCAATCATTATATAATAATCCATTTAAAATAAATATAATAAGTATATTGAATTTTTGATTATGATATGTAAGAAAAAAAAAGATTTTATAAATATATATGAGTAATAAGGAAAAAAATAAAAGTCTAAAAAAATTAGAATTTGGAACTGATTCAATGCTTATAATATTTATTTATTATAGTATTCTATCATGATTATGTAAAATGGAATTTATACTATATATATGAAATTGTGTTGTTATATTTATGTTATTATATTGTCAATTATATTATATATATTATGTTATATATATTCAAACTTATTAAAATTTTAATATAATTTTATGATTTTCTCAAAAATTAATTTTTTCTTACATTTATTTTAATTTGTCTGATAATTTATTAATTTTAAAAAATAAAAAAATTACAAACTTTTTAAGGTTTACAATATTTATGTCTATGCAGTTTTTTTCATATAAAATTTGCTAAAATTATTTATGTGATACTTTTATTTTTTATTTTATATTATATATAAATTTTAAATCATATCAAAATATTTGGAACAGAAAATATAGAAATGATTGAATTCTTTGAGAGATATTTTGAGAGATATTCGTTTGATTGAATTCAATATCTCTAGAAAAATTCAATTAAACGCAAAATGAAATTTATTAAAAATACTATAACTTTTATAATATAAAAAGCTATGTTTTTAATCTACATTCTGAGCAATTTAAATCTATATTGAAAGGGATAGAAATAGAGTAAAGAAATTTGCTATTTTATTTTATTTTCATCTAATTTAGTTTTATTGTCTATAATTTATTTCATTTAATTTACGCAAATATTTTTTTTATTTATATTAAATTTATTTATATATTTTATTCATATTATATTATAATGTTTATATCTATTTATTTATATTTTTATATTATTATTTATATTAAAATGTTAATTAAAATGTTAAAATTTTATGAACCTTTTTTTATAAAGATTATATAGTAATTATATATAAAATGAAATGTGTATTTTAAGATAAATTATATATGTATAATATTTAAATATAAACCATCTCATCATTTCAAAAGTTTCTTGCTAAATATAATTTATTACTATTTTTATGAATTCTTCTTAATATTTATTTTTAAAATTTATAGCTAATAAATGTTGAGATTTTCTAACATTTCTCAATAACAATAGATGTATTATAATCTTACTTTTTAGTATTGAAGATATAATTAAAATTAATCTTTTCGATATTATTATTGACTTTAGATGATATTTACCGAATATACACAAACAATTGTCAATTGTCAATTTTATAGTATAGAACATTATATTTGGATGATGTTTACAACAATAAACGTAAAATAATAATTTAAATTAATTAACATTAATTAATTAATACTAATCCATATAAAGAATTTTTACAGAACATAGACGATCAAATATGGAAATTTTCTCTGTTATTTACTTTCATTTACTTTTTTATTTACTACTTTATATACTATCTTTTAATTGGAATACTCTTATTTGGATTTAATATCAAAAAGATTTATAAAAGAAAAGATGAATAAGACCAATGATGCATTAGGTAAAATATAAATTAAGAATAAAAATATGAATAAAAATATAAAAAACGTAAAATAAGTTAAAATTTTGAAATCTGGACTTTATGAAATTTTGAATTTTTAATTGAATATCGGATTCTTGTATAAATCTTGAATATTTCATTATTATTATTCTCAATATTATTATTTATAATAAATATACTTTTATAACAAATAAAGTTTTATTATTTATTATTTTTTATAATTGATTTTATAAACTTTAAAATTATTGTTGAAATTTTTGATGATTACAAAAATAATCTTGAAATTTTTGAAAAATATAAATTTTTATAAAGATCTTGTCTAAATGGAGAGAAAATACATTTATTATAATATTGTTAATATTACTTCTATATTTTCAATTAAATTTTACATCATTAATTGGCGATATAATAATTATCTCTAAATTAAGCTTAATATAAATTAATTAAAATATAAATTAAAAATTAAATAAGCTTCAATCAATACTTTTATATACCAATTTTTATATTTATTTTATCTTTTAAAATCAATTTTTCAAACGTGCTCTACGAATATTTATTCCCTACATAAGTTTCATAATTTTTAAATAATCATTTAAGATTTAAAGAGTTAATATAAACCTTAGCAATAAATACAGTTGTTGAATGATACGAGTTATCGATAATCTACGTAACGGGAATGACGTTAACGTTTGCGACCATATTTCCTTAAATAGTCTAGGTGAAACAATAATTAACACTATACTTTGTAAAGGGTGAAGGAGGCGGAGCTCCCTCGAGTGGAAGGTACGTTTAACCAAACTAATTAGAACAAATTGGACGGTATTAGTTCTCGAGGAACGATGCTTTCTGTCCGCCCCTTTATACCACCTATCAAGATGAATACCTTAATTCATGAGTGTACGCTCCTGATAGAGGAGAAACATTCGGAATAGAGAAAGACTAGAGGGAATAGAATTGATGTATAACTTAGAGTTTACCAAAGTGTTAAGAGGATAAACTGTTGGGCAATAAGACCAAGGAGGAATGACGTAAAGGAAATGCTTATGACTGTGTTATCCTTTTCATGGATATAAGTGCAACAGTGACTTCTGATCAATTATTTCATTCGATTAGGATCAAAGATTCGATTAAATTGGTGATACACAATGAAATGCATCCATTAAACGCCTTATGAGAAATTCATTAAAACTTCTATATGATATGGTCTAACATATATAGTGTACAAGATTTTTCGTTTTTATGATGTATCATGAAATGTAATTTTAATCGTCTTTTTTTTATCGTGTATATATAATATTTTAATGGCTTTATTCGATGGCTATTAATTTCAAATTTTTCTTTTGCATAATTTTTCTCCTCTTTTTAGATTAACATTTTAATTTTTATTTCAAATGGATATGAAAATTGTGAATATGAATATGAATATGTAAGATTGTCTAGATAGAAAGTTATTATCTTTGGAATTTATTAATTATCACGGTTTGCAATATGAATATTTAATTTTTAACTTTTAATATGAATGAAATTTTAAATAATATCTGTATTTTCAATTCTTTTTTTTTCAAATTCTAATTGATCTTTTTATAATTTGAATAATTGAATTAATTTGAATTAATTGAATATTGTTGCATTTATATGCATATTTTTATAAATATTATAAATATTATTGTTGCATTTATATGAATATTTTTATAATAGAATTGGAGATTCTTAACAATTTGTAAATTAAAAATTAAGTATTTATAATTTTTATAAAATTCTTGTTAAATTTAAAACATTTGATATATTATACATTTTGGAAAGTATATTTTATAAAATTTCATATAAACTTTTATAAATTGAGCAAAAAATCGTTGTGGAAGGAAATTAAGTGGACTTTTATTATATGAATAATTTGATTATATTATAAATTTTTTATTTTTTAACAGATTGATAAATAAATTATAACATGTTATATATTATTTTAATAATGATTTATAAGTTATTTAATTAATTTGATTATTTGATTAAATCATCAAATTTATCTGCATAAAACCGAAATGAAATAAATTTCGAAGAAGTTAATATTACAGAAAAATATTGATATTTAATTTATATTCAAAAATTTATATATATATATATATGTATATATATATGTGCGTGTAAATTATTAAAATATATATATATTATTTTATATTTAAAAGATGTTATTTTTGATAGTAATATATAAATCATATAATTTATTTAAGTTTAAATTGAATTATGAAACGATTTCTTCCTAGAATTTTCCAAATTAATATAAAAAGATAAATTTTGATTGAAAATGATTTGAATTTTATATAATTTATTTTATATGAGAAGATGATTAAATTGAAAATAAATCTTATATTTATGTATTTCAAAATTAATTTTATAAATTAAAATGTAGCTTACCTCTGCCCTGTAAGGAACGAATATCGCACTGGCTAGATTTCCAGCAAGTGCTCCGATGAAATAAATCAAAGCAATACGCAATGAGCCAGTTAACTTCTCCAAGTCTCGCATTAAGAAATACTGAACCAATAGTGTGATTGATAGATGAAGAATTCTGCAAATAAAATGTACAAAAGCAATTCAATAATTTAGTAAAATTGTTTTTTTAATAAAATATTCTCTAATCACTTTTAAATAAAGCATTTGTACTGATTGATATACTGTATTCTGATTTAAATTTTGATTGATTAAATTATAATATTATCAAATTGAAGATAATCAATTTTTTAAATAAATTATGTTATTAATTATTAATTTATTTATTTTTATTAAAAGTTTAAGACATTTATTTTTTCACATAATAATATTTCAAATTTATGATCAATTAGATATGATATAACATAATATAACATAACAAAACATCTAGAAATTAAATAATTTTCAAATATAGATTTATACATTTATGTAGATATATTACATAAAAAAAAAATATATTTCATAAACAAAAATATGATAAGATATATAATCAATTTTTAAATATCATTCTAGGATACATTTTTAAGAATTAAGCAAACATTTCCAAATATACTAATTTAAATACATATTTTATTTGGACAATAGTTCTAAAAATTTTAAATAATATTTTACGTACCCAGCATGAAGAAACATGGTGGTGAAGAGCCTATAGAATTGATCAGGCCACTCGGGATGAAGAAAGGGTATCATACCGCAGACATCGTGCAAACACTCGACCTGAGAACAGAGGGATGCTTCTTCGTGGAAGTATCCGTGTACAAAATCACAGTATTCTTTTGTGGTAATGCGACACATCCCGTGGATCCCGATGCAACATGGATGTCCGATTACCTCGCAGACCATGTGTTCTGCCATCTTATCCTTGTATCGACCCACTGGGAAATTTCCATTGCCCCGTTGACTTCCGTTTCTACTGTTGAGCAATCCAAAACGTTTTCCTCGATATTATTCATGAAAAAAGTTAGCGGAAGAATCTTTTCAGTAAAAAGAGTTTTTAAAAATATAAATGCATGAATTTATTTGGAAATAAAACTATTCAATTTTTATTCTTAACACAAGTGTTTATTAACAGCTTTCGAATTTTTAATAGATTTTTTTAATGGATTCATATATTAAGATTCATATATTAAGAAGTTATGTAAAAATGAAAAATTATACATATGAAAATATCTTTTAATATTTGATGAAATATTTACACAATTAATAAAAATTTTTAACTCTTAATGTTCTAGAAATTATTTTATATTAAAATCATTTTAATATAAAAAAAACAACTTTCATATATGAATAATGGATCATATTAACTTATTTTTTTATTTTTATATAAGACATAAGGAAATAAATTTTTATTTTTTATAAATAAATTTTTATTTTTTATAAATAAATTTTTTTTTATAAATGATTTTAATATAAAAATATAAAAATAGATATAGGCCTATATATGTTATTTAAAAGAGAACAAATAAAAATAAAAATAAAAATTATTATAAATAAACAAAATTCAAGAAATAAAAAGATTTAACTTATATTTAAAGATTTAAAACAGCTTGTCTTTAAAATTTAACAAAATTTAAGAAAATTAAATTTTTTTTGAAAAATTAAACATATTAAGAGATGATGTAAATGATATAAATTGGATCTTTGGATGACGAATTTACCTAAATCGTTGATTGAACGGATTAGTTTTTCGACAAATGGGCCATTTGGTAATATCATCTGGCCATTCGTAAGGTGCTATACTAGCTGGAGCATCGCAGAATTTTGGATCCAACCCGCAAACTGACCCACTTATGCGTCCTCCCGGTCCACTGTCCCCAGGTCCCCATTTTTTCCATGTAGATATTGTATTCTAATTTTATAATCATAATATATTCATGAGATACAATAAATAAAAAATTTAAAATTAAAAATTTATGATACATGCAAATTTGTTATCATTCCAATATTAATTTTCAATTTTAATAAATTCTAAATTTTTGAAATAATTAAAAATTTTTGAAATAATTAAAAATTTTTGAAATAATTAAAAATTTTTGAAATGGATATGTTCAACCATAAATCACCAGTCATTTATATATTTTGAACAAAAAATTTATTGTATATATTACTAATATCATATTATATGTATATTATATATTAATAGAATTTTAAAATTTAGATTACAATTTTATTTTCACAATATTATAAGAAATTCATGTAATATAATTTGTTAAAAAATTATTAAATTACATTAATAATTAATAATAATTATCATGAATCATTAATAATCATTACAATTCATAATTTATTAAAATGATTTATAATTTCCTTCATCAATAAATGTTAATTTTCTAAATAATAAAATTCAATTATTCATATTCAAAATTGTATTAATATTTAATAATTTATGATCGACGATGACATATAAAAATAAATCTATCTCTACATCTATATCTACAATCTATATCTACAAATATGATACGATATTTATTTTTAATATAATATAAATAAATATATATCAATATCTTGAATATCTATACAGCTGGAAACAAAAAAGAAATAAATTTACCGTGGCAGTCGATCTCAATCCTCGGACCAGTTGGTTCGCAAAAGAGAGAAAATTATATTATAAACACAAACGGAGGAAAGATGAAATATATATATATATATATATTTGATTTGAGTTATATTTAATTTTCGAAATTGAAAACGAAATAACAACTCACAGAGCAATCCGCTTTGCTGGATTGCACGCAGCCAGAGTCATCGTTCCTTATACAACACGCTGTGTCCCGCTCCCTTTCCCGCCAGACATCGATCTCCTTCAGAATTTTAATATCACGGCGCATACACGGTGCAAACTTCGCCCCTAGATGAATCAAATCAGCGGCCCTCGGACCAAACCAGAAATTCGCTGGTTCCTGGTAGTCCACTTGTTGCAACGATAGACTGGTAACGAGAACCTGTTGTGTATTGAAAATTATCATGAAATTTTAATCTTCTGACAAATTGATATTGAATTCTGTGATATTTTTTGATACATTGCATTTTTGATAATAATGATATAAAAAATGGAGAAATTTTTATATTTATCAAAATGTAACATGTTATTTGTATTTATTTCGTATTTATTTTAATTATATGATTTAGTAAATTATGTATATTTATTTTAGATATTTTTTGATTTTTTTCACATTTTTTGTGAAATTATAAAGAAATTATTATTTATTAGAATTAGAATATTTTGAAACTTGATTTTATGTATCATATCGTTTCTAAAAATTATATTTTTAAAATAATTTTTTTAATAAGATTAAATTATACTGTATATTATATTTTTGATAAAAATGCTTGAAGAAAATGAAAAATTATAGAGAAACTTTTATACTAATCAATAAGAAGTTAAATATTTTGTATTTTCTAAAAATTACATAATTCATTGTATAATTCATAATTATGTAATAAATAACTTTTTTAAGAAAATTAAATTTATGTATGACATTTTTTATATGAATATTTTATCGAATATAGAATATTAAAAAAAAAATATAAAAAAAAATTTTATAATATGTATGCTGAATCTTACTTTCTATTATTCTTTTAAAAATTTTAGAATTTATTATATTATATAATTTATAATTTTATATTTTAGTAGATAATTATATTATCTTTTAAACTTTTTTTTTTAAGAAAAACTTTTTGTTTAATTTAAGAAAAATAAAAATTAAAAATTCAGGAACTTACCAAGCCTGATCTATGACTGAGATCCATACCCACAGGTCCGAAACCGTAGCATGCTAACGATATTATCAGAATAAGAATTTGAACAGTGGTGATCCAATAGGTAAAATAAGGACGATGATCTTCGAAATCGTCCAGCTGTTTTCTAACGTCTGGTTTCTGGGATACGCTTTTTCGAAATGATCTTCTGCAATCACAGAATAATTTTGATATCTTATAAGATATTATTTCAAAATATAATATTAAATATCTATTAATATAAATTTTTTATATTTAAATTATTATTTTTTTAATTTTCAGAATTTTTGAATAATTTATTTTAAATAATTTCTTCTTAAGTCCTTAATTACTTATCAAATTTCTTATGTCTATAATTTTTATTTTTTTATATAATAAATATAGAATTAAGATATATTATTTAGATTATACATAAATTAAAATAATATTTTATGATATAAATTAAGAATTTATCTATATAAAAAGATTTTCCTTCATATTCTCATCGTTAAATATTAATTAATTTTTGTATAAAATTTATAGTTATAATTTCATTAAATTTATATTATTTCATATTTATTATGTTCTAGATTATATTTTATTGTTTTATTTTTATTCAAAAATTATTACAAAAAATTTTTCAAAATTTATAAATTTTTTAATTTATGATTCATATTTCTATTATAAAACAAACGAATAATAAATTTATTAAAAAGTATTAGTTTCTTCTCATTAAAATCTTTCTATATTCTACTCTTTCAAAATTTATCATTTACATATAAAATTTAATATATATAGTGAAATAAAAATCTGTTACAATTAATTTAAATTCATTTCATGGGTTAATTTGCTTTATAATAATCTATATTTTTTTCATTTTTCTTTTATTCTTCTTTTATACATATATACAAATAATGTATTAAATAAATCCTTATTATTTATAAATTGGTCCTTATAATGTCCGATAATATCAATCAAATAAATTATTATAAAAATTAATTTATTTTTTGATCTTCTTTAATTCATACAAGATAAAAATGTTTAAAAAGTAATTAGAATGATCTTAATTTTCAAGATTTGGCAATATTATACAAATATCATTTTGCTATTTTAAATGTATAACTACATATATATTTTATCTCCAATATTTTATCAATTTTAATTCGATTGCAATAACAAATGATTTGACAATGAGATTTATGAATATGTATGTATTACTAATTATGGAAATGAAACATAACGTCGTTATATGAATTTCAACATCACTTAAATTTGGTCAAATATATTTTTGCGATTTCATATCGCCTATTTTTTTTAATTTAAATCCATTATATGATTTTTATCTCTTCTCAAAACTAGCTCAAGAGTACTTTGGAACAATAGGCAACATTTAAAAGGTTGTAACCATAATAAATGAAAATAATTTCAGTTATAAAATATTATAGCATTATCATATCTGGATCTGAAAATATCTTCTCTTTAAGAAAATATTTCAAAAAAGATAACATGTATTTTCCATAAAGAAAGATTTACATTTTTATATCAATCAATATCAATAATCTTTTTAAATATCTTTTCTCTTTGTTTTGCAAAATTAATAATTATATTTAAAATTAACACAAATGAATTTACAAATATTATCTATTATTATGTACTATCTATTTTTATGAAGTTGTTGTCGATAAATAATAACTTTTCATGACAAGCGAACAGAGATCTGATAGGTATGAAAGCTATACCGCATGATGGATAACTATATCCCTGGTTTTTTTTTTAAATATCATGCCACCCTAGCAAGACGCTTTGTTGTCATGGATTTTTTTTTCCTCCCTCTCACTTCTGACACTTGCCATTTATCCACGTTTGTTACTTGTGTTCTGCGTGTATCTCAAACTGGATCGTACCTACATGACAAAACCTTCGTGCAATCATTAAAGCAAAATGAAGGAGAGCGAGAAAGTTGTTTCAATAAAACCGTGTTATCATCTTATCCGCGGGGCAATGGTATAAAATAAATGTAGGAAAGACAAATTTCCATCCTCTAATTTCATTTTATCCTTCTTTCGTTCCTTTCTTTCATCTTTTTCTATTTTTTCTTCTTTTTTCTTCTATTTTTAAACTTTAAAACTTTAAAAATAAGGATTTTACAATGTATGAATTTAATTGAAGAATTTAAGAGTTGGCCTTGCGATCAATCTATATATTAAAATTCAAAATTATGGAGTAAAATATAGAAAATTTTAGAATAAAAAATGATATTGAAATTAATTATAAATCTTAAAATGTTATTTTAGAAATAACATTTTTAAAATTTAAATCGTTTGCGATTGAAGCATTTCTCAAGATTCGAAGTCTTGTAAGATTTTTAATTAAAAAATATTAGAAATTAATTGCAAATCTTGGAATTAAAATATATATATTATATGTACGAAAACTTGTAAGAGAAAAAAAATATTGGCCGATAAAATTATTCACGTGGAAATTCATTTATTTTGATCGTTTTGAAATCAATTTTTTCATCAATTTGGAACAGCAATCGTATTAATATATAATGACTAGCCGATATCTGATTAAACGCACATATATACGAGAAAATTCCAAATTAATAATAATAACGTTTGACGTATTGTTAATTTTTCTTTATTTTTTGACGACTTTATTTTTAATCGCATTGTGTTAACATATTTTTTATGTTACGGATAAATTCAACGATAAAATATTAGGGTAACAAAATTATTAAAAATTATCGAATATCATAACGCAATTTATATTAAAATATAATATAAAATATTTTCATAAATTTATAGATTCACATGTTCAATAAAATATTTATGAAATAATTATTCGATACAATATTCATAATGATAATAAATAAATATTATAAATAAAATATTTCCATTATCCTATTTTGTCTTATGTAAATTTTGATTCAAAACTTTACAAAGTTTCGATACAGAGTTACGAATATTATTATGAAGTATTATTATAATAAGATTATTTATTAATCATGAATTCAATCGAATATTATAACTTGAATATCCTGATTTTAATCCAATTTTAATCCAATTATTAAAATTTTATTCGATTATTAATGAAAAACAAGTAACAATTTTTAAATAAATTTACAATTAGAAGAAAGAGGAAATCTTCATTTTTAAAATCTTTTTTATTTCATATCGATCCGACTTCTCGTTCTTGAGATATCATTGTAAAAAAAGAACGGTAATTTTTTGCCATTTTCAGATCTTTTCCTCGCACGCATTCACTGACCTATCGCAAGTTTCATAAACATGCAATGACAGACGATGACTCAACGTCTTCTCCGTATTATTGCGCGTTTTCAGGAAAGAATATAGGTCACACGAGTTCGATCCCATTCATCTTTTGTTCATATTTATGTGTATGGATATACTTTAAATTTTCACATCTCAAAAACGATATGAGATATCGATTTCGAACAAAGTTATCAATTGTATCTTTTATTCTACATAAAGATTATATTTTATTTAAATTTACATGTTGTTGATTATTTATATTTTTGAAATATAAAGTTTTTTACTGGTATTGTATTAATTGCAATGTTATTAATTATAATAATTATACTTTAATTATTTGAACTTTTTTTTTTTATTAAAGTATTAGAATAAGAATGATTGATTGATTGATAAGAATGATTGATTGATTCATAAAAAATAAAAAATAGATTAATCATGTTAAATGAAATAATAATTTAATATATTAATAAAGAATAGTTTTGTAATATTTTTTTATCAATTAATATATATGTAATAAAATATTTTCATATAATTGTTTAATAAAAAGAATGTTTATAAATTTATGTTAATTTATATATATAAATATGAAGAACAGTTTCGTTACATTTAATTAGTTTGATGTTACGTGCATTTTTATATATTATTATTTTCTAATCTTTTTTGATTTGCATTTTTTTTTATAATAATTTAATTGTGAATATAATCTTTCCTNTTTATTTATATATATTATATATATTATTTATATATATATATTATTATATATATTATTTATATATTTATTTATATATTTATATATTTATTATTAATGTTTTCGATATTTCTAACGAAAGAATTACTTTATATTTCATTTTTCTCTTCTCTTCTCTTTTCTCTCTCTCTCTCTCTCTCTCTCTAATTTATAAAAAGACATATTAATAAAATAATAAAATTTAACTATATTGAAATAATAAATAAATATAAAAAATTAAAAAATTAAATTAAAAATTCATTAGGTTCTTATGAGTATTAAAATACTTTACTTGATAAACAAATCAAATTTGCAAATTGATATTTGGCTATTAGCCGCATTAAATATACTCAAGGGATATATTTGAAAACTCACCCCAAAAATCTTCCAACGATACCCATGCCATATTGCCTCCTGTTGCTGTTATCGAATATTCGGTCAATGGTACTTGGAGAAATTCTCGTAGGACCGGTAAAATCCTTCCTAAGAGTTACCCCCTCATCTTGCCTCACTCTCGTACTTTCGGCCAACGGGCTATGATACCTCAACCTGCCTCAACTCGTTTTTCTGTAATCTCCTTCTTGTTGTAGATTATAATACGTTAAACTCGACGTTGGATACTTTTATGTATCTTATCCAAAATCGAGGATCAACGTAAAACTTTCGCGATTGATTTTTTTTTCTTTTTATGAATTTAATTGTATTATGATATAGAAAAAATATATTGAATCTATTTTGATATATCGTATCAAAGAATTGAATTTAAATTGAAATTGAAATTTTTTTATAATTCAAATTCAGCAAAAATATATTGAATCTATCTTGATATATCGTATCAAAGAATTGAATTCGAATTGAAATTGAATTTTTTATATTACATTAATTTTTACAATCAATTAAATTTATTAAAAATTTATTTATAATTTAAATAATATCAGACACAGTAGTTTTAATTTTTTTAATATCTCATATGAAGTTCAATTTTTTGCGTGAACATATATTTAACATGTCGATTAGATAAATTCATCTACATGAAAAATAATATATGATGCATGAAGAATTAATTAATTTGTAAATATATAAATATGAAGAAAGAAAAAAATTTATTATTTTATATTATGATAACCTAACTAATTGTAACAATATTAAATATATGAATATTTTACAAAAATATTTGTTTATTTAATTTAAATAGAATTAATTTTGTCGATCTTTATTAATTTTTGCGATAATTAATATATTAATGATATTTAATTAATGAATATAGTTAAAAAATTCGTTTCAAGGATAAAAAGAATAAAATTCCTTACCTTGAAATGTAATGGTCCCTCGAGATGTGACGAGATCTTCTGACTTGTCCATCAATTGCCGTCCTCTCATCCTTCTGTGGAGCAAACCTGCAAAATAATTATTCCATTTTATTATTTTATCAATTCTCCTCTTTTAAATCACATTCATTTAAAATAAAAAAAGTAAAACTTAATTTTTTATAAATAGTTTTTTATAATTATATTATAAGTAACCCATTTTCGTATTAAAGATTTCAGAATTATTATAATTAAAATTTATCATTAAAAGTGAAAATTGGAAAAAAGAAAATTGGAAGTATATATTCAAAAATAACAACATATATTTCTAAATATCTTATATAAAATTTATAACTCTTGAATAATAAATATCTATATAGAGCTATAGTACTTTTAAATTTTCGTTATTATACAATAAACGAAATTATTATTAACATAATATATTTCTCACCTGACCAATTCCTCGGATGTTTCTCTGTCACCCGCGGAATCGAGCAGATCTGCGACTTTTGCGCCGTCCTCTTCGTCTTTCACCAGGCCACCAAGACTCTGCTCGACTTGAGATTGTGGTTGCGCAGGAGGCGGCGGAAGCGGGGGCGGGGGCGGGGGTGG